TTGTATGGTTCAATCAATCGGATGGAGTATTATGAAAAGGGATGACGAAAGGAAAGTTTCGAGTTGAGATTGCGACTACACCGGCAACAAACCATTTCTCAAAAAAACCTTCTTTAAACTATGGAGTAGCTTTTATGGGTCGTATCAAGTCAAGAAAAAAGTAGGCGAGGTAGCGTACATGCTAGAACTACCAACAGAGTCCCAAATTCATCTGGTAATTCACGTTTCCCAATTAGAAAAGTGCTTAGGTAAAGGACACAAGGCGTAGACATGTTTACCGACGGTAAGTCAAGAAGAGATATCATGGTACGACCAAGAAGGTCAATAGACTATCAGAGAGTCAAAAGAGCAGATCAATTCTATTGGGAAGTTTTGATCGTATTTGTCGGGAGAATAGGCCACATGGGAGAATTCGCATGACATTCACGTTCAATTTTTGAGTCTTATGTCATGAGAACGGGGGTTTCTTCTCAAGAATACATATAATCGTGCTCGACGTGCTCGAATCAAGAAGGTGCGTGCAAGGACATACAGATCGGACAATCCACATGCCTCGCTCCGTGAGAACCTTCCCCGATGGGGGAGCAGAACATCGCACACGCGACACCTCTCACGAGGCGACAACGAGTTGGGTTGGATCAGGTCTCGCGCCGGTAGAGTGGCGCGTCAAGCAGGTTTCACTCCGCGACATCCTTCACAAGGCCACAGAGAGTTGGGCTGGACTAGGTCTTGCACTACGAGAACTCTCACGCCGCAATGCCTCATGTAGTATTGGTCAACACGAGTTGATAGAGACCATGGAGCCGTGAAGCTCCACGCCGCGACAACCTACCGAACCTAGACATGTGACGATAGTTTAGGGTAGTTAATTAACAGTATTTATTTGAATTTTTAGGAAACCGTAGCAGGTGTGCTTGATGAAAATTTACTTAAGAGCTCTTGTACTTAGGATTATTATGCAATAAATTAACAAAAAAACACTCGTTTCTGAGCACAAATTCTTGTGTCGACCGATGACCCATTAGTGCGGATTAACACATTTTCTTTACGTTCGATACATGATCGCAACATGACCTCCACACACTCTTTGTATACCTCGCCACATATTGGTGCAATGTTCGCCCTCTTTCTAGTGCATGTTAATTAGTGAAAGGTATGTCTTCTTATGCTTTCTGGCGCTAGCGGACTGGTTCATAAACAATGAGTCGAACCTCTCAAAGCTATAGGCGGACCCAGCTGGCAACTCGTGAAACTAATCCTGCACTGATCCATTTAAGGTTGTAAGAAAATCTCTGCAACTAACAACATCATTGTATATATGCAACACGCTATGTTGTCAAACGACCTCAAGTGCCTTGTCAGATGATCGAGCCATCATAAGACATAATTAGTTCTCGGAAGTTATTAGGTAAGTCTACTTTAAGACCTTCTATGAAAATCGATGTCCGTGAGATTGAGGTGCCGACCTTCCCTGGACTCGAGCTTGAAGCTCACGTATCTACGCAGCTAGTTGCTCGAACATCTCAGGCCGACTGCGACATAGTAGTTTGCGACGTGACCGTCTTTGTCTCCTCTTCGTCTAGTCTCCCTTGTTGCTAAGGTTGCTGCTCGAGCAGCGGTTGCTGTTGAGGTGGCAGCTGCTGCTGGGGTTCAGGTGGAGCCTACTTATTTGGTCCCTAAGGTCGGTTCACAGCTTCTTTTATGATCATGTCCAACTTCGCTCTGGTCAACTGGAGCACTTGATCCTCCATGGGGCTAAGGGGATTGGGTTACCCCTTGGAGGTTATATCCTCCAGAGAAATGAGTTGTCTGTCTTATCGATGATCAATCTGTTCCTAAGCTCAGCTAGATCCCGAGCACCCCTGTTGGTCTCCTCTATAGTTCGCTTGACCGTCGACCTCCTGTTCCTTGTCCTTTTGACCGATTGTTCTGTCCTAGTTAACCCTCTCTGTGTACCTAGACGCAGGTCTTCCAGGAGTATCAGACAACGATGTTAACCCCCTGAGGTCGGACAGAAAACACTACTAACTAGTTCGAGCCTATAGATCATTCGTCCATCAAGTCTTCCGAGGTCGATCTTTTAGAACCTTACCTGACAACCGAGCTAACCCGCACTATCCGGTCCAATACCGACCACTACCAAGGTAAGACCTTACATTTATCCAAGCAACCTGTTCTTGGATGCTATATCATGTAAAATTCATTATTTTAATCATACCAAGGTGATTATGTAGTCAGATAACGATAAGCTTTAATATCTACTCACATTTTAATATTTCCACCAATCATATGTTGGTTTAATTACAATTTCATCTTTATTATATATAATATTTTATTTTTTATTTCTAACATCACTAAGGATATATTTGTCATTCTCAAATATTTTTCATTCCTTTTCATTTTCTTACCAAACAAGATTTTTACCATTTTCACTCCGCTCTCCTCCAATAAAATCATGCCAAACAATATAGAATTATTTTACATCACCTCTCTTTCCCTTCTTTCCCTTCCATTAAAATTCCTCCCATCCATTTTCCTATGTTGAACCAAGCATAGCCTTAGGTAATGAGACGAGCTCGACTCGAGTTACAAAATCAAAATTTTCAAATATTTTCGATTGCATTTTATTCAATGAAAGTTTAGAAAAAGTTTTCAAAATATATATACATATATATATAGGTGTGTACATATTATTGTAAATATGTGGAATTAACCACATTATCATCTTCATTATTGTATTAGTACTTACATTGAATTGTGTGCCATCATATGATTAAAGGCCTTGGC